TCTACAAACGCAAAATGCACTTATTTAAAAGATTTTGTAAGGAGAGTGTACTCGAATGTTTTAATTTGAAACATATACAATTTACCCAAAATGAATTTGTTTGACATACAATTCATTTTAAAAAGACTTGCTTTTGAAAACGGAAATGGCTTTTTATAAAAACCATCTACAAACGCAAAATGCACTTATTTAAAAGATTTTGTAAGGAGAGTGTACTCGAATGTTTTAATTTGAAACATATACAATTTACCCAAAATGAATTTGTTTGACATACAATTCATTTTAAAAAGACTTGCTTTTGAAAACGGAAATGGCTTTTTATAAAAACCATCTACAAACGCAAAATGCACTTATTTAAAAGATTTTGTAAGGAGAGTCTTAAAATGATTGTTTTTTTTCATTTCTTACAAAAATTAAATCTTTCCATCCTTGTAACCTTTAAACAATATTTCTTTTCTCTAACAGAGTTTTAAAAAATAGGTGTGAAATTCTGGAATTCCGAGAACCACTGCTCTATATGTCTTTATTTGGACTCGACACATTTTAACACGTAGTCGTTCGTTGTGTTCAGTGGTAGCGAAACACAGGGATCCACCCAACCATGAGTACTCAAAGCCATACACACTGTACACCTTAAGCATGGAGTTGTTTCAAGAGACAATAGGGGGTAGGGTGAAGCTTCCGAAATAGACAGCATTTGTGGAGTTAACATAATTTTATCCTGAAAGGTGAATATGGGCTTTGCCAAGGAACTAAATGTTCATGCTTTTCAATACGATGGAGGAATCATGAACACATTGCTATCCTCTGATCCATGTCGGCTTAGCGAAGAGGAAAATGGTACAGTGGTAGATGAAGATCTACCTTGAAATGCAGACCGTTGAGATGTAGGAAAGTCCTTGCTGCGGACATTGTCTACGAACAGACGTCTCATGGGGCTCATATACCGCAACCTGGTGACGTTTAAAGGGTTGCGAACGGTGTGTGTTTGACCTGAAGTGGTAATTTTGTCTGGAAATTTTTTAGTTCTGATTCTCTACAGGTCCAAACAGAGGGACCATTTTCACCCTTGACATCAAAGGAGGCTTTTAGGACACTTTAGAAACTTACGAAATGAATTGGTGGTGAGGAAATGTTCAATATAAAAAGCTCTCTGCTCTTTACTAATATGAACCATGATCTCAACAGGCAAAGGAAACTTGAGAAAAACTATCTGCAAATTTCTGTTGGCCTGTTAGACTACTATAGCTTGCAATATGGCCCAATCGTTGGGACTTTAAGTGGTAGGCCTAATGCAAACTAGTGTCATGCTACAAGATTTGGGACATAGCTGAAAATGGGTTGTTTTTTTGCGCGCCATGTAGAGGAAAACCCCCCATTAATGTGGATTTATATAAAATAAATATCAGACAAATTCCTTTTGACTCCAAAATGTTATGTACACATTTGAAACACATAACTTTGTTGTGAAGGAAAATATTTACCAAAAAAGTTGTTTAGTTGTTTTTTTTTCGATCACCCTGTATAATACAGCGGTATACATCATACTGCGTTTTATTCGTATGTAAGTATAGCATTTTAAGGAGGGGGGGGGGGGGCTACACCCCCAAAGTCAAAATTTGGCTCAAAATCATGGAATTTGAGTTGTAGGCATTTTTAGCTTCCTCAGCCTCTCCTACAACTATTTCATTGCATAAGAACCACTAAAAACCGTATTTTTTCCCATACCGGGCATGTTTGTAACCGCCATTTCCTCATTAAG